GAATTGTTACTCAGGGACACAGAATTCGTTACTGAGGGACACAGAATCGTTACTGAGGGACACAGAATCGTTACTGAGGGACACATAATTGTTACTCAGGGACACACAGAATTGTTACTCAGGGACACAGAATTGTTACTCAGGGACAGACACAGAATTGTTACTCAGGGACAGACACAGAATTGTTACTGAGGGACACAGAATTGTTACTGAGGGACACAGAATTGTTACTGATGAGGGACACAGAATTGTTACTCAGGGACAGACACAGAATTGTTACTGAGGACAACAGAATTGTTACTGAGGGACGCAGAATTGTTACTGAGGGACGCAGAATTGAGTTTACTCAGGGACGCAGAATTGTTACTCAGGGACGCAGAACTGTTACTCAGGACGCAGAACTGTTTACTCAGGGACGCAGAATTGTTACTGAGGGACAGACACAGAATTGTTACTGAGGGACACAGAATTGTTACTCAGGGAACACAGAATTGTTACTCAGGGACACAGAAATCATTACTCAGGGACACAGAATCATTACTCAGGGACACAGAATCGTTGAATTAAAGAGTATGTCAGACAACACGCAGAGGAGTGGCAGGAGGCAATGTTTCAGGAGCGAGCAGACGTGGCAGCAGAGGAAGGGGTCGAGGCAGCACTAGTCGCAGCCAGAGGCCAGTGCTCCCGGTGTCATCCAGCGGTCGTGTCTCCACCAACAACCCTGCCATCATCGATTGGTTGGCTCGGTCGTCTTCCTCTTCCCAGGTCACCTCTGACACCTACAGCCAACGGTCGGTGGGTACGTCAGTTCACCAACCGTTAGTTGGCATGGCCCCGGGGAGCAAGCCCACTGAAATCACGTGTCCTCTACCTGCCCCTGTCCTTTTGGTGTTCGTTCCCTCACCAAGCGAAGTATCGCATGCTGTGGGCTCAGCCCCACTGTACAGTGAGGAAGAGCTAACAGAGGGCGGTCAGGAACGGGGGGGGAGACATCCGCCTCTTCAGCAGCCAGGCGAAGAAGTACTGGCGAGGAGAGTTGGGCTCGGTAGCCGGTCTAGAGACAGGTCTGTCTCCTGACCCACACGCAGCCGAGGGGGCTAGTAGTGAGGCGGAGACCCTAATTGATGATGATGAGGGATCTGATCGCACTTGGCAGACCTCGTCGTCATCAGGCTATTGCTTCCGCATCATCAGGAGAAGAGGGTGCCAGCTTAGGGCAGCGAGCAAACATCAGTCGGTGGGTTGCCCAGGAGGCAGCAGGGTCGCAGCAGTGTCAGTGGAGGCAAACGGCCACGGAGTAGAGCACCAGCTCCACTGCAGCCTACCACCACGGCCAGTAGTGGTGCCGGTGTGCATGGAGGAAATAGCAGTCAGCCAGTGAGGAGTATGCGGGGGCAAAGTTTCCTACTCGGCGGTGTGGCAATTTTTTCGTCAAGCCGCCCGAGGAAGTAAACGTAGCCGTCTGTATGTCGACTATGTGGCCAGAAAGTCAAGCGTGGCCAGGGGGCCCATGTTGGGACTACAAGCGTTGCGTCAGCATATGCAGCGTCGCCAATTCGGTGGCCTGGGAAAACCGTTGATAAAGATACGGCGGTTCTGCCTGCCCCCAGCCCCCGCTCCATCACCCGCTCCGTTACTTGCTCCGTCACCCGACGTCAATCGCCCTCTATCAGCCAGTCAAGGCTCCAACACCTCTGCTGAGGGGAGTTGTCGCTCGTTGGCATCTTCCGCTCGTTCAGATGCTCCTTCTCCTGCTACTCCTCTTCACGGATTCCGTCAGCAGTCTTTCTTGGAATCCTGTTTCCAAGAGACAACAGTTTGCGAGCACACGCACCCGACGGTGCAGAAGCTAAACGTCCTCCTGTCCAAGTTGCTGGTGCTGCAGTCCCTCCCTTTCCAAGTGGTGGACTCAGCACCTTTTCCGAGAAATGATGGCTTGTGCCCGAGCCGCGGTGGAGAGTGCCAAGCCGGCATTTCTTCGCCAATAAGGCAGTGCCAGCCCTGCATTCACATGTAGAAGAGATGGTGGGCCAGTCTTTGAGCATGTCGGTCTCTCTGCCAAAGTGCACGGCAGCGCCGACATGTGGAGCTGTAACTACGGTCAGGGACAGTACATGTCATTTACGGCCCACTGGGTGAACGTGGTGCCGGCACAGCCGCACCAGCAACTTGGACAGGTCAACGCCGCTTTTGCCTCCACATTTTGCACGTCCTTGGTCCAGCAAAGATGTCCGCCTCTACCACCTTTTCTTCCGCCGTGTCCTCAGCCGCCACCTGTCCCCACCCCGTGCCAAGTCCCATTACCCGATCACCGGCATATCACATGTGCAGGGCGCAACGGTGTCACGCTGTGCTGCACCTGGTATGCCTTGGCGAACGTAGTCACACAGGGGAGGAACTCTGAGTGTAATGAACAGAGAAATCGACAGATGGCTGTCTCCGCGCAAACTGCAAATCCGGAACCCTTGTTGACCGACAACGGAAAGAACATAGTGTCTGCTCTGCGTCAAGGAAGGTTGTGCCATGCGCCATGCATGGCTCACGTGTTCAATCTGGTTGTCAGAGCGGTTCCTAAAATCCACCATCCCACTGCAAGACATCGTTTTTTTTAAAATGTCACGTAAACTTTGCATGCATTTCAGCCATTCCTACACCGCAAAGCACACCCATCCTTGAGCTGCAGCGGCACAGAACGGAATTCCACAGCATCGCCTGATCTGCGACGATTGCAACAAGGTTGGAATTCAACCTACATATGTATAGACCGCCTTTACGAACACGCGAAAGGCCATCACCGATTTCCTGATGTTACAAGCGGATAAAGGTACCCCCTGTGTAACTTAGATGTTCAGCCATTTGGCAGCTCATGCGTGACCAAAAACCTCTGCCCGCTTGCTCAGGCCCTTTGAGGAGGCCACGCTATTGTGAGTCGGCAGGACTTTGATGAACGACGACCATTCCCTCTGTGTTGCACGTACCTGGAAACAAATGCTGTTAACAATGGCTGGTCAGGGTGCGGTAGACGTGGCGCACAGATCTCAACGCCACATGACCCCTGTGGGGGCAGGACAGGAAGAAGAGGAGGAGGTAGAGGGAGGACATTGGTGCTCAGGAAATTATTGAGTGAAATGGGTGGTTTTCCACTCCCAGCTGGGCAGGAGTGGAGGAGCAGGAGCATCTGGTAGAGGAGGAGGAGGAGAGACAGAGGACCCAGACACACCGTGGCAGTATGCTGTGGAGATGGAGGCAAGGGAGTCCCTCGCATCCTTGGCACAAATGGCCCATAGCATGCTCAGTTTGCTTGCGTAGCGACAGCGAATAATAAACCATCAAGACAGAGGGATGACTTTTTTGGCTGTCCACCTTGTTGGACCCTCGCTACCGTTCAAAAAATGGTGGCCTTTTATCACACCTGCATGAGAGGGAGGCCAAAATAACGTACTATAAAAAACCACCTATGTAGTTCAGTTGGTCTCTGCCTTTCTGCGCCAACGTCCATCCTCAGACACTGTGGGCCCTTGTGTGCTCGCGTTGTTTCCGCTGCCATGGCAGCAGGGGAGGGGTGGGGTGGTAGGAGCAGTGGCAGCTCCACCAGCAGCGGCTGCCTCAGTCTGCAGTCGATGATGAGTAGCTTTCTTCACCAGCGCAGTGAGGAAACTACTAACCAGCCGCAGCAGCAGCAGCATCAGGTGGACCTGGAGGCAGGACCTCAAACAAACAGGCTTGGGCCTACTTGGACAGCACCCTGCCAACCAAAAAAAAAACCGGTAGACAATCCCCTTGACTACTGGGCAACGAAACTTGACCTTTTGGCCCCAACTAGCTGAATTTGCCCTTGAAAGGCTGTCATGCCCGGCCAGTAGCGTGGCATTCGGAGCGCGTGTTTAGTGCGGCAGGAGGTATTGTAACTCCGCGGGACACGAACTGTCCACCCAAAGTGTGGAGAGACTCACGTTTGTGAAAATGAATCAGGCGTGGATTACTCTGGATTTCAAAACCACCAGTTCCTGGACACAACTGACTAAATCCGCCATGAATCATGCCCCAAACATGTTATTTATTTTTAACATAGGCCTCTCTGTATGGCCTTCAATTTAAGCTGCTTACGCTTTGCCACTCTGCCATGGGCCCCTGTACCGCCTCCTCTTGCTGCTGCCAGGTCCAGAGTGTGTCATGGGTCTGTACGGCCTCCCATTGCTGCTGACTTCATTGCCAGACTCTGCCATGTGCCACTTTCAGGTCTCCTTACCTGTTGGTGGGTTCCATTTGGTCATAGGGTGCTGGCAGATTACGGGCCTCCCATTGCTTCTTCATGCTGCCAGGCCCCGTAATCTGTCATGGGCCCCTGTACCGCCTCTCATCATGCTAGCTGCCAGGCCCCGTAATCTGTCATGGGTCCCTGTACGGCCTCCCATTGCTGCTGTCTCCATCGCCACACTCTGCCATGTGCCACTTTCAGGTTCTCCTCACACTGCTGGTGGGTTCCATTTTGTCATAGGGTGCTGGCAGATACGGGCCTCACCATTGCTGCTGCCAGGAGCCCGTAATCTGCCATGGGCCCCTGTACCGCCTCCTCATGCTGCTGCAGGCCCGTAATCTGTCATGGGTCCCTGTACGGCCCTCCCATTGCTGCTGTCTCCATCGCCACACTCTGCCATGTGCCCACTTTCAGGTCTCCTCAAACACTCTGGTGGGTTCCATTTTGTCATAGGGTGCTGGCAGATTACGGGCCTCCCATTGCTGCTGCCAAGGTCCGTAATCTGCCATGGGCCCCTGTACCGCCTCCTCATGCTGCTGCCAGCCCCGTAATCTGTCATGGGTCCCTGTATGGCCTCCTATTGTCTGCTGTCTCCATCGCCACACTCTGCCCATGTGCCACTTTCAGGTCTACCTCACACACTGCTGGTGGGTTCCATTTTGTCATAGGGTGCTGGCAGATTACGGGCCTCCCATTGCTGCTGCCAGGCCCGTAATCTGCCATGGGCCCCCGTACCGCCTCCTCATGCTGCTTCCAGGTCCAGAGTGTCTCATGGGTCCCTGTACGGCCTCCCATTGCTGCTGTCTCCATCGCCACACTCTGCCATGTGCCACTTTCAGGTCTCCTCACACTGCTGGTGGGTTCCATTTTGTCATAGGGTGCTGGCAGATTACGGGCCTCCCATTGCTGCTGCCAGGTCCCGTTAATCTGCCATGGGCCCCGTACCGCCTCCTCATGCTGCTGCCAGGTCCCAGAGTGTCTCATGGTCCCTGTACGGCCTCCATTGCTGCTGTCTCCATCGCCACACTCTGCCATGTGCCACTTTCAGGTCTCCTCACCACTGCTGGTGGGTTTCCATTTTGTCATAGGGTCTGGCAGATTACGGCCTCCCATTGCTGCTGCCAGGCCCGTAATCTGCCATGGGCCCCCGTACCAACTCCTCATGCTGCTGCCAGGCCCGTAATCTGTCATGGGCCCCTGTACCGCCTCCTCATGCTGCTGCCAGGTCCAGAGTGTCTCATGGGTCCCTGTACGGCCTCCCATTGCTGCTGTCTCCATCGCCACTCTGCCATGTGCCACTTTCAGGTCTCCTCACACTGCTGGTGGGTTCCATTTTGTCATAGGGTGCTGTATGGCCTCCCATTGCTGCTGCCTCCACCGCCACACTGTGGTTCCACACTCTGGTTTTGGCCCCGTGACTGCCCAAATGAGTGAAGTGTGCGGTGATTCTAAGATCAACGGCACTCATCTGCATGTCATACTGACTGACAGTATTATTTCTCTTCCCCAGCAGACTCCAAGGGCATTTAAATTAAGGGTACAGTGTTCTGCACTAATATAAAGGCTCTCTGAAGCCTAGAAACACCCTTTTTATAAGTTAATTTTGCAGCGAATATATTCGCCTCGAATCGAATTTATTCCTCGAATTCGCCGAATCAGCCGAATCGAATTTTTGAATACTTCGCTCATCTCTAGTTAACACATCACACCAATATGAAAGGGGCCTCACTGATATTTGCAGGATACTGTCATACCGAGACTCTTGATTGGAACTTAACTAGGTTTAACTTTAAAATGTACCTTTCTACCCTGGTTGACACTGGAAGAGTGGTGCAGACCTTTACTGATTTAAGGAGACCTGTCCCCTCATGCAGCCAGACACCTTCCAAAACAGGCATAGACTCCATTCACCTGTCCTCCAATGCAGTCACAGGGCTTACATCAGGTTGCCTAATGGATCCACAGATCATCATCTCCACTTATTTCTCTTTTGCATCCCTTTCCCAAGGCTCCTTAATGCCTCCACAGACACTTTTCTCATTCTGGCTCTCAGATACCCTGACCCCTCAGTGTATTTCCAGACTCCTCTGCATAATCCTCTTGAAATCAAAGATCTCTCTCAACAAACTGCCAAATCCACAAACAAACATTCTCAACTGTCCCTCCATGCAGTCATAGCCTTGACCCTCCCATGTATCCACAGATCCACCTTCACTAACCCTAACGCTGTCACAGATTCCCCCACCACATCCTTCCATCCATGTACAGACCTACCCTCAAGCAGTCAGAGCAGCTCTAAAGTGGGAAGCAATCTGGAAGCCTAAAATTCCTTCCGTGATAGGAAACAAGGACACAAGCTGAGGGCATCTCTAGGCGTGATAATGGTTGTGTCCATCTTGCACCAGGAACTGTCACTGGTGGTATTAGGAGTGGTTGGAGCAATAACTGCACAAGCATTCCCTCTCTCCCCATACAGGCCATTAGTGACATGTTGGCATTGACTGGATTCGATGTCCATTTTGGTTAATGGTGGGGAAAAATCTGACATGCTGCATGGAAAGTACTTTAAATTCTACCTTATGAAGGATCTACCAAGGAAACATGACTGCATTTGATGCCGGGGCAGGGGCGGACTGATAACTCATGGGGCCCCCGGGCAATAGGGGATCATGGTGCCCCTGTGTCCTTGCCCAAACTCAAAAAAGCCTATGAAAAAGGTACCAGGGGCATCTCATGGGGCCCCCTACTGACCCTGGGCCTCGGGCAGTGCCCGAGTTTCCAAATGGTCAGTCCACCCCTGTGCCGGGGGGACTTTAAATAAGTAATACACTATCTCCTAGATTGTAAGCTCGAAAAAGCAGGGCCCTCGAACCCCTCGTGTATCACATTGTATTGGTATTGTTCTGTCACATGTTCTGTCCCCCTTTGTAATGTACAGCGCTGAGCGAACTATTGGCGCTTTATAAATACTGTATAATAATAATAATAATATTGCCAAAAGTATTGGGATGCTTGCCTTTACACGCACATGAACTTTAATGGCATCCCAGTCTTAGTCCGTAGGGTTCAATATTGAGTTGGCACACCCTTTGCAGCTATAACAGCTTCAACTCTTCTGGGAAGTCTGTCCGCAAGGTTTAGGAGTGTGTCTATGGGAATGTTTGACGATTCCTCCAGAAGCGCATTTGTGAGGTCAGGCACTGATGTCGGGCGAGAAGGCCTGGCTCGCAGTCTCTGATCTAATTCATTACAAAGGTGTTCTATCAGGTTGAGATCAGGACTCAAGCCAGTCAGGTTCCTCCACCCCAAACCCGCTCATCCATTTCTTTATGGACCTTGCTTTGTACTGGTGCGCAGTCATGTTGGAAGAGGAAGGGTCCATCCCCAAACTATTCCCCCTCTAAGTTGGGAGCATGAAATTGTCCAAAATGTCTTGGTATGCTGATGCCTTAAGAGTTGCCTTCACTGGAACCAAGGGGCCAAGTCCAACCCCTGAAAAACAACCCCACACCATAATTCCCCCTCCACCAAACTTTACACTTGGCACAATGCAGTCAGGCAAGTGCCGTTCTCCTGGCAACCACCAAACCCAGACACGTCCATCAGATTGCCAGACAGAGAAGCATGATTGATCACTCCAGAGAACACGTCTCCACTGCTCTAGAGTCCAGTGGTGGCGTGCTTTACACCACTGCATCAGATGCTTTGCATTGCACTTGGTGATGTAAAGCTTGGATGCAGCTGCTCGGCCATGGAAACCCATTCCATGAAGCTCTGTACACATTGTTGTGCTAATCTAAAGGCCACACAAAGTTTGTAGGTCTTTGGCTATTGACTCTGCAGACAGTTGCTGACTTCTGTGCACTTCAGCATGTGCTGATTCTGCTCTGTCATTTTACATGGCCTACCACTTCATGGCTGAGTTGCTGTTGTTCCCAGTTGCTTCCACTTTGTTATAATACCACTAACAGTTGACTGTGGAATATTTAGCAGCAAGGACATTTCATGGATGGACTTATTGCACAGGTGGCAATCTATCGGGGTACCACGCTTGAATTCACTGAGCTCCTGAGTGCGACCTATTCTTTCACAAATAGTTGTAGAAGCAGTCTGCATGCCTAGGTACTTGATTGTATACGCCTGTGGCCATGGAGGTGATTGGAACACCTGAATCCAATGATTTGGTAGGGTGTCCCAATACTTTTGGCAATGTAGTGTAGTTTTGATAACAATCTCTCTACATTGCTGTTTCTGAATTATATAGAAACTAGCATACTGTTTAGCTTGTCAGTAGGTTAGACCAAGTCAAAGTAAGAAAAAGTGCCCAGGCAACAAATGGTTTGAACAAAGAATTCTTTGCAGTGGCTGTTATTAGTAAGTAAAGGTGTAATAATTTTCGGAACAGTGCCCTCATAGCTGATTGGAGTTCTTTTCTGTAATCTACCCTTCAACAAGTTTAATTTTCTAAAGTATCCCTTTGAACTTTTTACTAGCACTATTAAGCCAACAATAATGATATTTTGATAGTTCCCAGTTTCCTGCCTGATAAGGGAAGCACAAGTTGAGGCTACCTGTTCCTGAATACTCTTTTTAAACACAGTGCCCTTTAAATATGGTAACGTGTGAACTCGTTTGCTTTTAAACAAGTGTATTAGCTGCAAATAACTGGAATCTGTGAGAGCTAAATATAGAAACAACATGGCTTCCTTACCTGTTTAACTATACTTGAATAGTTAAAGGTATAGTAAAGTCAAAACTAAAAATGAAAGCCCAACATATTGTTCAGTTAACATCAAATGAATACATTACAGGTGCATCAAAACAAATGGCGGACAAACACTTACAGTTTGTTTTCTTTAGAAAGAAGCCACACCTGCCTGACCTTTATACCAACATGGGAAGCTCACGACAATACCATCAAGGCCCTCAATTTAATACATGGGGCCAACCTCTCTAAGACACCTTCTGTGTTCCTGGGTATGGACGCAGAAGAGGCGTTTGACCACGTTGCTTCACGGTTATGGTCCTGCGCCATGTGAGTATAGGAGAGAAGATGACCAGGTGGCTTTCCAGTGTATACTCAATGCTGATGGCACAAATGCAAGCAAATGGTCTCCTCTCCAAGCCTTTCTCCATCTCTAATTGTACCCATCAGGGCTGTCCATTATCCCTTCTTCTCTTTGCCCTTTTTCTTGAACCATTTCTTTGGAGGATTAGACGTAACCTGGATATCACTGGTATACGAATTGGAGACTCCCAATACAAAGTCCCTGCGTACGTGGACGACATACTTTTCTCGCTCATCAACTCGATTATTTCTATACCTAATCTTCTCAAGGAACTTTAGGTCTACAGTCCCCTTTCCAAGACCCAGCAATCTTCCTCTTACATGTCTCGGATATACAGATCGATTCTACGCCATTTGTTTAATTCTGCTAGATCATGTATCGCCCTATGGTGGAGAGATATATACGATCCCCTCCCATCTCGCTCTGGCTATTGAAGGTGGAAGAGGTAAACAAGATGGAGGACCTGATACTATCGGCGCAAAACAGACGTGAAGCCTATGCAAAAACTGGCTTGTCTGGAACATGTTTACTTCCTCTGAAATGGGGAAAACCCTATTTGTAGCTTCCTCGCAAGATTGACACATCCTACCCCCATCCCTCCCTCCCTCCTCCGGTATCCCCCCCCCCCTTTTCCTTCTCCCCCCCCCTTTTTGTTTGTATTCCTCTCTCTCTCTCCCCCTCTCTCCCTCTCCTTCTTTCTATTCTAGCTTCCCCATCTGAGTTCACCCCACTTTTCTCCCCCTCCTAAATACACTCTGTTAAAAACGGACAGACCTGGGCACTCATAGATGCAGTCAGATCAAATTCTGCAGTACACCCCTTGCTTGGTTCCCATTTTATGGCCTAGGGGCTAATTTGAACGAAAGTTTATTTTGCATTTTCTACTGTTTATACTTATAGCTGTACCTTTTCGCTGTACACATTTGGGGTGTTACCCCTTTCTGTTTTGTATATTCTGGATATATTTGAATTGCCCTGTAAGTGCGGTGTTGTCTACATAAAGAATTTGGAAAAAAAAAAATCTTCCCACAACATCATCACCTCTATGCTGTGCCATAAGCAGGAAGGCACGTACTCGCACATATTCTGGAGCTGGATGACCCTGCTGCCTACTTGCTCCATCCTGCTTCTAGGCACTACAAACGATCATTTATGATTCTCTTACTCAGTGCAGCCAAGGCTTACTTTCTTTAGTACTGGCAGCAGACACCCTTGCCTCCTGTGAGTGCATGGTTACGTAAAATCACCAAAACCTACGATATAGGGACAAATACTAGCCTTGGCCAATGACAAGGAGGAACAATTTGGTTTTACTGGGCTGACCACACTTTCTCTGTCAATTATATAGTGGGCCAGACTGGTTGATCTGGACCTAATTTACCATTACGAATGCTGGCACTCTGTGGTGGCACAC